AACGCAAATCGGACACTTTTCAAACCAAATCGGACACTTTTCAAATCAAATCGGACACTTTTCAAACCAAATCGGACACTTTTCAAACCAAATCGGACACTTTTCAAATCAAATCGGACACTTTTCAAACCAAATCGGACACTTTTCAAAAACACTTTTCAAATCAAATCGGACACTTTTCAAACCAAATCGGACACTTTTCAAATCAAATCGGACACTTTTCAAATCAAATCGGACACTTTTCAAACCAAATCGGACACTTTTCAAATCAAATCGGACACTTTTCAAACCAAATCGGACACTTTTCAAATCAAATCGGACACTTTTCAAATCAAATCGGACACACCCCTTACAATTAGGTGGTTGATAACTAGACCACACTAGGTACTGTTGCAAGCCCCGCCCCATTATCCCCGCCCACTTCTCAGCGCGGACAGGGTTTTCCGAGATGCTTCATGAAATCTGCTCCCTCGACTTTTTTTCGTTTTTGCCCTTTGCACACACACTTCAACTGAAAAAGATTGATACAGATCTGACTCCGCCCACTTAACAATGAAGTTACGTAAGTTCTGAATTTTTATAACTTTTTTCGACGTAGTTCTTTTCACATCCAATCTTCACAAAACGAATAACCATGCACAGCACACCAGGCCCCGCCCTCTGACCCCGCCCACTTGTGTTTATCGCGGAATTTTGGTTTTTCTTCCGGATTTTCGCTTTTTTAGGCTTTAGCGATTGGCTCCGCCCACCAATGGAAGCTCCGCCCACTTTTCGAAAATGATGCAAATCGGCGGGCTAGTGTCCGTACTGGCGGATTACGGCCTCTCCCGTCGCTCAGAACAAAGTTTCCATTTTTTTTCCGGTTTTTCCCTTTTTTTATTCTATGTGCCGGGAGAGGCCGTAATCCGCCAGTACGGACACTAGCCCGCCGATTTGCATCATTTTCGAAAAGTGGGCGGAGCTTCCATTGGTGGGCGGAGCCAATCGCTAAAGCCTAAAAAAGCGAAAATCCGGAAGAAAAACCAAAATTCCGCGATAAACACAAGTGGGCGGGGTCAGAGGGGCGGGGCCTGGTGTGCTGTGCATGGTTATTCGTTTTGTGAAGATTGGATGTGAAAAGAACTACGTCGAAAAATGTTATAAAAATTCAGAACTTACGTAACTTCACTAACTTCATTGTTAAGTGGGCGGAGTCAGATCTGTATAGGTATCAACCTTTTTCCAGTTGAAGTGTGTGTGCAAAGGGCAAAAACGAAAAAAAGTCGAGGGAGCAGATTTCATGAAGCATCTCGGAAAACCCTGTCCGCGCTGAGAAGTGGGCGGGGATAATGGGGCGGGGCTTGCAACAGTACCTAGTGTGGTCTAGTTATCAACCACCTAATTGTAAGGGGTGTGTCCGATTTGATTTGAAAAGTGTCCGATTTGGTTTGAAAAGTGTCCGATTTGGTTTGAAAAGTGTCCGATTTGGTTTGAAAAGTGTCCGATTTGATTTGAAAAGTGTCCGATTTGGTTTGAAAAGTGTCCGATTTGGTTTGAAAAGTGTCCGATTTAAAGTGAAAATGGTATATACAGAGAGATTATTAGCTATCGTCGATCGATTTGGTTCTAGTGCGCCGTGCATTGCGCTTCTGCGCGGTGTAACTTCGGATATTAGGTGATTCTTGTCCATGTTAGGGTATGGAAGAGTCGATACGCACGAATTTAGAGATGTATTATTTAGACATCTACGTACTTACGAGTTCATGCTAACTATTGATATTGCTAATCAATTGTTTTAATATTTTGTAGTCTTCCTTACATCCGGGTCCTCTGCAGCTTTCCGTCCGCTCCATCAAACTTAGCGATGACTTTTGTGCTGTTTGGTGCTCACCGACCCTGCGTTCATTACACCTGCCCTCCCAGCGGTCAACTACACTTCCCCTCCCCATGAGTTTTGCACAACGATGCTGTACCCTATCTACAAAACTTCGAATGATGGACACTCTCGGGATTCAATTAATCATGAGTGATAAATGGCCCTATCGTACACAGTAGTACCCTGTCCAGTGTGCGATCTGCCAACAGTCGAACCAGTGCTTTTCTAGAGTGAACTGCGTTCTCATCAAAATGCGTCGTGTATGGCCTGTGCATTCTGGCGGAGTGATGGCACATCCATGCCGCGCTGATGCTATGAGCAAAATCTCTTTCACAAGTATGGGCATTCATTTATAAGCTCATCCTTTTGAAATGGTCAAGAACCCAAAGAGGGTTATGTTCTCTACCACACGATCAGCGCTGCGCCTCTAGGATAAAAGACTTCAAATTCAGAGAAAGTGTCTGATTTGAACGAGGAAAACGGAAGTTCAAATCGTATTTCTTCGAGTGTCCATGCTGATTTTGATTTCTACCAGTGATGTTGCTGCTAGCCACTGGCAAAATCTGTTCATGTCACACTGCTCCATGTACAGTTCGTTGTGTTTTGTTCATAAAACAGTTGAGCCACAAATTCGTGCACTTCAGTCATGAAAAATTTTTTAAGCTCCCTGCTTGCGGAGAATGAAAAGAAAAGGAATCCGCAGTATAAATCTATTGTACTTCGTTCTATGCAATACGATCGTTTCGACACTTCTGTGATCTCTCACAGTGCTAGAGGCAACATGACCAAGTCAGCTGGTTCTCTGGAGGTAAGCTTTTTGTTTGCTCCCGAATTTTATTGTCCAATCTTGGCACCATGCTTAATCCGCTAATAAAAGAGGGTCGAAGGTCGCCGTTGGTCGCCGCCGTTAGTTCAATCAGCCTTCAGGTTGCGGAGCTCTTATGAGGTTATAGAGCCTTCTTGCCCACAAATGTCCTACATGTTACCTTGTTCATAGTTAGAGCGGGGATTTAGCATGACGCAGTGGCTGAGTGCCATTGTCCTCTTTGCATTCACAAGGCAAGGGATTCGGTTTTTTACGACATAATGCTTTTTCTTTCTTACAGGATGGCTCAGCCAAAGGGTCTACTATAAAGAAATGAATCGTGCAAGACAGTGCTGTTGATGTAGTGGCCTCCTGATTTCATTCTGTTTTGCGTACAAAGTATGCCGCCAATAATATAAATAATATAAAAATTTTGAATATACGCATGTTGGCAGTCTCACGTGCAGATTTACAGGTCGGCTCCTAGTGCATGAGGCTGCATATGTCACCAAAGACCAGTTTATCTCAGCCAGCCTGGAAGAGTAGCACTGAGGCCCCATTGCAGTTGTAGCGCGTCCACGCGCGTTATATTGAGCTGCAGCTGATCGACACGCATCATTGCGAAGTCAGAACGTCGCCTAAGTAAGCATCTTGGGGACAGGGCACGCCATGTTGAGATAAAAACAGCGAGGGGGGGGGGGAGGGCGTGAGGAAGTCGTATTTAACCGCGATTGAGAATGGTCATATTTGGTGTAGAAAAATTTTTTTTGATAGCTGATTTCTCTTGTTTCACGACGCTATAGAGAGGGCCGTATTTGCCCGTATTTGCTCGTCGTTCTGAGGGAGGGAGTCGTATTTGTCCAGGGAGTTTGAGAGGACTTTGCGGCGTTGGGAAAAACTTTTTCCGGTTGTTAACTTATTGCGGTTCCTCCGTTTCACTGGTGTTACATACCCCTCTACTTGGTGGGTCGCCAAGGTTCTATACAAGTACTATTTCCGATGGTCGAAAGTAGTAGTCAGTTCCTGACAACCTTCTTCCCCCCTCTCCCCACCCCACCCGCCATCTTCCGCTCGACAGCAAATTTTTGGGAGAAAGTAGCAATTTTTTGAGGATTTTCAGAAAGAACTGGTAGGAAGTTGTGGAAAAGGTAGGTAGGATTTGTAGGAAGGGTATCGCATCAGAGGATGGAATTAGGGGGTCGCATATTGCAGGAACTTCACAACGCTATGGCGTGCCCAGCTTGGGGAGTGAGCTGCATATAAAGCTCTCGGGAACTAATTTCTGATTCTCGAAGGTGACAATTTACTCCGATCGAGTAAAGTGGTTTTATAATGATCGGACTGTCACTTTTGTTGTATAAGCACACTTCTGCGCTCGCCTGAGTTCCAAAATACATGGAATCTTTATTTCAACATCGTATATTCGTATACTTGCAAATTTGGAAATTTCAAGTCCCGCTATGAGATTCGCGGTACTGTAACCATAAGACTAACACTTGCAGAGTAGTGCCGGAGCGAGCAGTTCGAAGAATAATCTTGCTGTAGAGTCGGACGGTTAGTATGGAACTTTTCTCCGAGACGGTAAAAAAAAGTGTTGTAATGTGTTATGGTGTCTTTTCTAGATGAACCTGTCCAAAATATTGTAGGACTCTCTTTCCAACCTTATCGATCCACTAGTTGTACAGGGAGGGAAGGGCAAAAAAAGTCACTTCGACCGAGTCACATATCAGCAAAGTTTTCGCAGCCCAGACAGAGGACGTGGATACGAGTACCAGGGCGGAAGATACCCAAGATGTTCCTCTATAAGCAGGAGCTGGCTCTCGCCCATCACCTTCATGTACACCAAAATATGAAGTCATCTCCAGTCGCAGCCTGACTGGAGAAGACCTTTGGAATTCATGTCACCTCCAAACAGCTGCGAAACTTCTAGTGTGGAGTCATGGATAGCTACCTGGAGACCAGTACTCTCGATCTGGAAGACCTCCAACATCGAGCAGCTCCGACAACGTCGCCACGGTCTAGGACATCATCTTCACCACAGTCGCCAAGGCGCGGGTTGATGGTATGGACCGGACGTACCTGGAAAGACCGATATTTTCTTCGTGGACCCCGGACTGAAGGTGAGCGCTGGCGGTTACATCGAGCAACTCGAGAAGAATATCCTCCCACATGTCGTCGCCCGTACCTTCTTGGAAACTTTGTACTGCTACAGGATTGGGTGACACCACATGGAATCGAAGGGCGTTGGAAAAACTCTTGCCTACTTGGAATGGAAGGGCGTTGAGTACCTGAGATGGAATATCTAAGCAGGTCACCTGACCTAAACCCCCTCAATTACCTGGTTCGGGCGGAGTTCAATAGGGTGGTCTACAGTGGCGGAGAAATCAACGATCTCGCTGAACTCAGGTACCCACTCACGGTCGCGTGGCAGAATCTCTCGATGGCGCTCGTCCAGAAGGCTGTGGCGGAGTATCATGATAGTATTTAATATGCTCTTTAATATGGTAGAAATGTCCGATCAGAATTCAATAAAGTGTAACTTATAGCGCCTCGAAAGTCAAGGAAGAAAAGTGTCTTTTTTTGCCCCCCCCCCCCCTGTAGTCCACTCCTTCAGCTAGTGTGAGCAATGCGACTCATTCATTGGGTGTTGAGCTTAACTATTTCGAAAATTCTCATTTCAGAAGTTGTAGTCAAGATGGAAGTGGATGAGTCGCCCGCTTCAACCTGCGTTTACACATCACTTGAAAAGCACACTAACTTGGAAGCGACAGACAGTATGTCACTTTTTTTGAAAACCCCGCCGCCAGTCGACCCTCCTCCATCTGTGACACGTCCCGAATACGTGTAGTAAGTGCGACTTTGCCGCGCGCTTCTTCCCCTGATGAGTTGAATCTTCTGGTTGATCACTCAAACCTTTTTTCTCCTATGCGCATGGCCAACGCCCCTTACCACTGCTGCCAGCTAGGTGGGGAAAGGGATCGTTTATCAGCTGTGGTAGGATGAGACGAATGTTCGACAACACTGACCAAAAACCTCACGACGAATTTCCGCCCTCCCTGCTGAGCCGTTCAGAACATGTCGAGAGGAGGACGCTCGCGATCCTGTTGGTGTTCTGAAACACTATCGATCGACACATCACGACTCGGTGGATATCGAAGTTCGCAAACTTGTCCGTTCAATGGTATAGTCCCCTAACTGCTCACAACTTTCTGCACAAAACCGATTGCTGAAATCAGTGATAGCTGATGGTCCGTGTCTCTATAGAACCCTATCTCTTCCAGGCCATTTCTCAACCCGCGCACCGCTTTTCCAAATATTCACGACTCTGGAGGTGAACTAATTTTTGGTTCACTCCGACTATTTATGCCCTGCATCTTATACGTTTACACATCACTTGAGAAGCACACGAACTTGGAAGCGTCAGACAGTATGTCACATTTTTTTGGAAACCTTTCTACCAATTGGCTCTTCTCCATCTGTAACACGTCCCGGAAATTTGCCATTCTCGATCCACTTTCTCCCTGCCCCGTGTGCCTTGAGAGCGACTCCTAAATTTTGCCTTGTACTTCGTCCTCCTCGTTTCACGCCCACACTCATGCTTGCCTTAAGTCACTTCCCCCACCTCAGAGTGTACTGGAACAGGACTGCACTTCTTGGAGAAAGTACCTCGAGCCTGGGGACACGCTCTGAACACATTGGGCCACTCTCATTGCACCACGGAGTCGCTCAACTCACAGCTTTCTATACGTTGTGTAGCGGGCGATGCCTCCTCGTCTCGGTCAGTCCGATGACGTCGTACTTGATCTTCCTGGCTTGCAACATCAGATCTTCGATGTGAGCTTCCGATGCAAGCGTCCGTGCGTTGAAAGTACAGATCGTCATCCTGGACGACTCAAATCTTCGTTGGCCCTGAGATTCTAGCACCCTCGCCCGAGTGGTCCCAGCGACGCCACCCTGCTGTTTTTCCTTCAGGTTCAGGAGAATGATGCCCACATATGTTAGTTTTCGGCGTGGAAAAATTTGAACACGGGTAGCCTGCCAGCCTTTAACGTGGCACCCTCCGCACTGGTACGGCTTGAAACAATCCAAACCGTTGACGCTCACGCCACGTCAGGGCTGCAGATCGTCTTTCAGTGATTCTGCGCCTTACGAGGTTGATAGGTGGAACATTTATTCTGTGGCCTAACGTTTCGACTCAATCGTCGTCTTCAGAGGCCTGAACATGTTTCAAGTTTTAGATTCGCAACCTACCCCACCAAGCGCCTCGTCGAATCTAGCGGTTCCGACGTAGGGTCAGGAACCCTTGAGAAGACGCCAGTACGCAAGAAGCAGACTCACCAGGATAGGTCCGCAGCCACACCAGAGCGCTATTAGTAGAGAAATGGGAAATGATTGTCTCCGTGTGATGACATATTGTGGAGACGCACGTCACGCTCTGTCATTTTACAGTCCGCAGTGGGGTATAAACGGTAGTAGGTCACTGGTGATGGAAGGACACTCATCTCGATTGTTCATTCTGGGTTTCTAGTGAATATCCAGAATGCTTCTAACGCTTTTCTAGCTGAAAGTTCCGTCTCATTTGCCAGCACACTGCACTTTATTTCGAATTCCAACCCATTATGTTCAGCAACCTTATGCCTCCCAAGAGCAGTTGTAAGAGTACCACGCCTCATGCTAGCAAGGTGTTCCTTGATGCGAATAGCCAAAACCCTTCCTGTTTCCCCTATATATGTAGAGTTACATTCCCGACACTGGATTTCATATACGGGGGGGGGGCAAAAAAATCACTTCGACCGAGTCACATATCAGCAAAGTTTTCGCAGCCCAGACAGAGGACGTGGATACGAGTACCAGGGCGGAAGATACCCAAGATGTTCCTCGATAAGCAGGAGCTGGCCCTCGCCCATCACCTTCATGTACACCAAAATATGAGGTCATCTCCAGTCGCAGCCTGACTGGAGAAGACCTTTGGAATTCATGTCACCTCCAAACAGCTGCGAAACTTCTAGTGTGGAGTCACCCATGGGTAGCTACCTGGAGACCAGTACTCTCAATCTGGAAGACCTCCAACATCGAGCAGCTCCGACAACGTCGCTACGGTCTAGGACATCATCTTCACGCAGTCGCCAAGGCGCGGGTTGATGGTATGGACCGGACGCACCTGGAATGGAAAGACCAATATTTTCTTCGTGGACCCCGGGCTGAAGCTGAGCGCTGGCGGTTACATCGACCAACTCAAGAAGAATATCTTCCCCACATGTCGTCGCCCGTACCTTCTTGGAAACTTTGTACTGCTACAGCATTGGGTGCCACCACGTGGAATCGAAGGGCGTTGGAGAAACTCTCGCCTACCTGGAATGGAAGGGGGCTGAGTACCTAAAGAAGATGGAATATCCAAGTAGGTCACCTGACCTGAATCCCCTCAATTACCCGTTCGGGCGGAGTTCAATAGGGTGGTCTACGGTGGCGGAGAAATCGACTATCTCGCTGATCTCAGGGACCACATCGCGGTTGCGTGCCAGAATCTCTCGATGGCGCTCCTCCAGAAGGCTGTGGCGGAGTGTCATAATAGTATTTAATATGCTCTTTAATATGGTGGTAGAAATGTCCGATCAGAATTTATAAAGTGTAACTAAAGTGTAACAAAGTGACTTTTTTTTGCCCCCCCCCCTGTATTACTCCCACTTGCGCACAGTCACCAACCTTCCCGTGTGGGCATGTAACACAATTCTCTGATATGCACTGCTTGTCGTAGAGCCTATTACGAACCAGCTGCTTTTTGATGTTCTCGTTTGGTATATTTACCAACTGAACATCGTCCTGCAACTGGGCCCTTACTATGCTCCGTTTTATTGCAGCGCTGACCTTATCGGATATGAAGGGGATGCACAGGGGTATCTTGTTTCGACGTGGTACTTCTTGTGGTTCAATATGCCGCCTTCGTCTAGGGTATGGTGCCGTATAGCCATTCATGACGGCTATTTTCATGGCTAGCTCTCGCGATTCGTTTCGTTCTTCATCTCCCGTGCACATTCCCGTTGCCGTTCGGAACATGTTACGGAACAACAGCGCGCTTCACGGAAATCGGATGTGCTGATGTAGTGTGCACCAGGATGTTTTTCGAGCTGCTTTTCTTTTTTCGAGCTGAAGTGTACCCAACAATCTGTCGTATTTCGCACAAAGAGTCGATTTGGCCCTAGATCGAATAGAGTCGCAAATCAACCTTGACTCACCCTCAATCCTCCTCCAAGTCTGATCAGGTAGAAGACGTTGGCATGCGCGCTCTTTCGCTTCACACTTCAACAACGAGGAATACAGTACATGCCGCTTTTCCCTAATAACAACATCCAGAATAGTACGGTAGATACTCGTTGATTGTCTCTACTGTGTCTGCCACAGCAGTCGTGAGAACAACATCATCACCACCGACCACCACCACACAAACGACGCAGTTCAGCGTGGCGGAAACTCGGAACGGGTCACTGTTATCGACAACACTCATCTCTCGCCTAACGCTTTAAGTTTACTAAGTCTTGGTCCGTCCTTTTCGCCAGCTCAAAACATCACAGCACAAGTGTTTCGAAAAGTAGTTGGGGGTCTCCAAAGGCTTAGAGACGCTCTCCGCATCAAAAGTCAGAGCCGCAAATGACGCGCCTTTATCAAGGATTGCCTCTGTGTGTACCGTTTCCACGCACTTTCTACAGAGAACCTCAACCATCACATCAAGTCGATGTTAAGTTCAGAATGTTATCAACAGGTATTTTGGCCGTTTTGAATAACTTCAAACGGTTCCGAAATACAAACTTAACACCCGAACAGTGGCTGGGGTTCAGAGAATTGCGTGAGCTAAGATCAAACGGTTCCATACGCATATCCGTCAGTGACAAGGGCGGTGAATTCGTAGTTATGTCACAATCCTTAGACCGTGCCATAACCGAGGTTCATTTGCGGGACTCGACCGTATATCGCCGTGTCAGCGAAGAGGACTTTTCATCACAATGCAGACGTCTCAACCGTGCATGGTTGTGCATAGGAAAATCTGCAGGACTTGATGACAAGTTCATTAGTAGACTGAAACTGGACAACCCAAGATGTCCAGTTTTCTACAGCCTTTTAAAGACCCATAAACTTGCCTCTCAGAATAATATGCTGCCAATGCCAGCGGATACGTATAAGATCCGTCCTATCATAAGTTGCGTGGGTGGCCCTACCGACCGAATATCATGGTTTCTCAACACCATCGTCAGTCAACTTCTACCCATGGTCCCCTCTCACCTGCCAAATACGAATCATTTCCTTGAACAGCTACGGCGCTGTAATATCCCAGACAATGCTGTGGTAGAGTCATTCGATGTTACATCGCTTTACACTAATGTCCAAAACGAGCAAGCCCTACAAGCATTGTCCGAAATGCTTGACAGGCATATTGCTAATATACGAACCTTTGGACTTGGTAAAGCACACATAATGACTCTAATCAAGGAATGTTTGAACTGTAACATCTTTAAATGGGCAGGTACATACTACTCTCAAATAGAGGGCTAGCCATGGGTCAGCGTCTTGCACCAGTGCTCGCAGTGTGCTTCATGGGTAGAATAGAAGAACCGGTGCTGGAGCGGTTGCCCTTAATGTACTGTAGGATACATAGACGACTGTTTCATAATAACATCAACACAATCCGAAATGGATGAGTGTTTCCGGCTTATGAATGAACAGTCACAGTACATTAAACTGACGCGAGAAACTCCGCAAAACGGTTGGCTACCATTTCTCAACACGCAAGTCAAGGTATCCAATGGCATCACTCGGGTAAAATGGTACCGTAAAAGCAGCTCGAAAAACATCCTG